TGTGTGTGTGTGTGTGTGTGTGTGTGTGTGTGTGTGTGTGTGTGTGTATCATGGGCTATCAGAGCTAAGAGAGGACAGTGTTGGATCACCTGAAACAAGAGTTACAGGCCCCATGGGTGCTGGGAACCAAACTTGGGCAGTCAGCAAGAGCAGCAAGTGCTCTTAACTGCTGAGCTATCTCTTTAGCCACTTATTCAAACTTTTAAAGTTCCGAGAGATTTAGTTAAGAGTATAATTATTCAAGTTCTTTGGATTTTAATGTGCAGTGGATATCAACCTTTTCTAGAGTATAGAACATAAGACTCTGCTATAGTTTTTTTTTTTTTTTTTGTAGTAATCTAAATATTTTAAATGGGTTACTGGTTAGAGATATAAAAATATGTCATTGATTTAATTTTAAGTAGGTAGTTTGGTACAGTCATCAACAGGCTAAGCTAACATCAAGAATAGATTTTCCCTAGAGCTCTAGGGAATAGATATATACCTTAAACCACAATATTAACTTTTGGATTGTCACTGTGACACAACAATCTTTCAACCTTTAAAAGGCAGACAATATACAAAGAATAAGGATTCCAGGAGATCATATTAAAGAAATTGAGAATATAGAATGGAGGTGACAGATAAAAGCCAATGATAAGAAAACAGCATTTCCATTTCTACCTTATGATAAGGGTCTGGGAAAGAGACTACAAAGGACTCAAAAAAGCAGGCCCCTGAAACAGTTCAAGATATAGGCCAAGGAAATGGATGAGGAAGACAAGACCTTCAAGTGGAATCAAGAAGAGGAGTAGAAAAAAAAAAAAAAATCTCAAGGAGCTAAAAGCCAGGCCTGCTGGAAAGGGACCCAAAGCCACAAATGGAATTAGGAAGTCTGGTAAAAATAAGCTGTCCTTGTATTCAAGATAGTAGCAAATGCTCTTTCATTTCTATTTAAAATATATAAGCTTTGTATCTTAAACATTGCTATAGGAAAAGATGTTGCCTGGCCATAATACTACTACTGCTCAGAAAACCATGTATGACCTGCTTATTACAAAGATTGCACACAAATGTAATTACCAGAAATTATCTAAAATTTAAACATCTGGATTTAAACATCTGGATTTCCTGCCGTAACATCTTTTTACCACCTAAAGCTATGAAGTGTTATCCTGGAGCTTGTTGTACATTGTAGTAAACTTTTGTTTAGAAAGAAGAACAGAAAGAAAAAAGGAAGGAGAGAGAGAGAGAGAGAGAGAGGGAAAGAGAGAGAGCACCTATTATTCTTACTGGATGCCACAGGAAGAGTGTCGTTTATCAAAGGTATTGAGTAAGCTGTGAGCCAACAGGTATTGTTGTTTCAAAGGAAAATGTGTTCCAAGTGTCAAGTGGTCAACTTGACAAAATTTTGTTTTATCATTTTTAGATAAGTGCATATATTTTGTATTTCGATTGTATTTATGTAATTTAAATTCTATAGAAAATAAATTGATTCTTATTCTACTTTAGAAAAAAATTAACTGATGTTTTTCTTATTCAGTTGGTGGAACTTCATGTTTTTTATGTCCCTGAAGGATCGTGGAACTATAAATTAAATACTATTTCAATAGAAGTTATTAACAAGTTTATTTCTGCTGGATTTATAAGGCAAGTATTGTGTGGTCATTAAACAATCTCTATTTAAAAAAAGAAATATAGGCTGGAGAGATGGCTCAGATGTTAAGAGTACTGGCTGTTCTTCTAAAAATCATCAGTTCAATTCCCAGCAACTACATGGTGGCTCACAACCATCTATAATGAGATCTGGATCTCTCTTCTGTCATGCAGGTATAAATGCAGGCAGAACACTGTATATACATGATATAAGCCTTTAAAAAAAAGAGAACTATATTTTCTAGAAATTAAAAAATCTTGTAAGTGAAAAATATTCATATGATTTATTCCTAGTTCAATAAATGCTGTCAATAAACAGTACTGTGTAAAGCTAGTGATATATATCAAAGATAAAGTGATAAACAAGGGCCCAGATGTGATCATCAATACTGCAAGAAATATATAAGCTTTGTATCTTAAACATTGCTATAGGCATGTACCTGACCATAATACTCCTACTGCTCAGAAAACCATGCTTATTACAAAGATTGCACACAAATGTAATTACCAGAAATTATCTAAAATTTAAAACCAGTTGAAATATGAACAGTAATAGTTAAAGCAATATATTGACAATGGTCTTTATAATTGTTTAAAATGTTGGAATGTATATATATATATATATATATATATATATATATACACATATATATACATATATATATATATATGGGTATTTTCACATTCAGACAGACATGACACTATGTGATTTGGCAATTTGTTTTCCCCTTGAATGTATCTCTCCCCCTAAAATTTCCTATGTCTTTCCCCAGTCACTTTGATTTCCTTTCTGTTCTAGAACACATTATATATAGTCATTATATACAGACCTGAGCTGCTGAGATTTGTCAACAACTAAAAGCACTTACCACACAAGCCTAGCAACCTGAGTTCAATTCCTGGAACCTACATGAAGTTAGAAGGGGAGAAGCAACCCACAAAGTTGTCCTCCAATCTCTATGCACAACCATACATAGGAACAATTTTTTGGGAAAAGAATATAAATTCCATATCAAAGTTTTGTTTTAATTACAAAACATGAATATAGATTAGCAAAACAGACATTTTTTCAATACTAAAAGCATTCATTTGTTAATTTTAAGGGACATATTTTTAATTTTTTGTTTTAAAAAGTACTTACTAAAAACCCTCAAAGTTCTAGGATGTATAGAAACATTATATACATTAAATTAGTTTAATACATTAAATTATTTACATTTGAGTTAGCAGACTAAACTTGTTGATTCATTAATATGTTCAAAATCTATTTAAAACAATGTCATGGTATTTCAGAGTATCTCCTCAACTAACTTTACAAGCTCTGAGGGAGCGCCTTGGTGAGTTTCTTGGTGTAGATGCTGTTGCAGAAAAATTTTTATTTCTGAAATGCATTGGAAATAATTTAGCTGTGGTAAGTTTTCTTGCCTTTTTTCCTTTTAAGTAAAGTTTGCTTTTTCAAATTACATTTCTTAAATGCTTACCAAGTCAGTTCCTTCTCCTACTATGAGATCATTTAGGACAAATTCTAAAATGTTTGTAATATTTTATTTTAAACAAATATGTATTAACATCTTCTTGCATATAGAGATAAATGTGGAATCTGTCCTTAAAGTATATTTGGTTAGTGGTGAAATAAATTATGTAATGTGAATACATTGAATGCCATGTTTTATATTGTGAAGAAGAAGATTTTCCAGCAGAAGGAAAGGGAAGGTAGGAGACACTGAGGAAGAAATGATACTCAGGCTTGGATCTTGAAAGATAATATTTGATCTTGAAAATAATGAAGAGCCAGAAAAGATTTCTGACCAAAGAAATAAAATGATCAGAGGAGTAAGAAATCATGCAACCAATCGTGTCAAAAAGTGGGGAGGGGAGATCAGAGAACCAATCATAAAGTACACTTTTGAAGGTCTTGAATGCCAGATGAACACTTAATAATTTTTTTTCTGAAGACTTGGAGTTTTTGAGCAAAAGAATAGGACAGTTATATCCTTTAATGAAAATTACTCGACCTTTATTGAGAAGTAGAAGATGCTATGGGTACAAGTTCCAGCCAGTTATACCATCTGAGAAAGTTACTTTTTTATGCCTGTGCCTTCTTGGCTATGGATTACAGATGATGTGCATGTTCCTCTAATGGAATTACAAAGATTAACTGAACTAATTTATGTACTGCACACAGAATAGTGCCAGACATACACTGCTTCTCATGCAAATGATTATCATGATTATTATTAGAAAACATAGAATTTTGATTATGTTGGTTCTGTGAATAGAAGTAGGATTAGATTGTACATTCTCTGTGATCTGGCCATAGTTGCTTTTTATATTTATATGCTGTATGTCTTCCATAGAAAAGCACAGAAAAATAATTGAAAAAGATTATCAAAGATTTTATTTTTTTCTTATGTATTCAATTTCTAGGTGAAGGAAAAGCAAGAATCAGAACTGAAACTGAAATCATTTGCTCCTCCATATGTATGTACTATAATCATAAAGTTAGATTAATTTTAAAACTTAAAGTGGATTTTGTTGGTTTTGACCTTTAAAAAAATTTCCTATGTTTTAGGCTCTTCAACCAGAATTATATTTGCTTCCTGTAATAGATCATTTAGGAAATGTTTATTCAGCATCAACAGTTACTTTAGATGAACGGCAGAGTAATAATGACACTACGGAGATTAATGGAACAATCCATAGACCAGATAGTGTAACTTTGTCAGAGGATGAACCTGGAGATCCAAGTTTGTTGGAAAATACTTGGAAAGAATTTACAGATGAGGAAGAAGGTGACTTCAATTAAAATGGGACAGACATTATATATAGTAAATTTGAACACTCAAGCCTATTTACAAATCTAACCCAAGATACAAAGAAAACTGTAGTTCAATTAGGGCTTAAAAATGGACAAGCGGGAAAGAAAAACAGTGAAATACTTTGTTAAAAATGAATTGAGGGTTAGGGAGGCAGCTCAGGATGTAATGTGCTAGGCTTGCAAACATAAGGGCCCACATTCCGAGCCTGTGTAAACCAAACAAAGAAAGTTAGGCATGAGGGTGTGCACTTGGATCACAGCATTGGGGAGGCAGAGACAGATCCTTGGGATTTTTCTAGACTACCTAGACTGGCCTTGTTGGTGAGCTCCAAGCCAGGGAGAGACCCAATCTCAAAAACACAATGGTGTGAGCTGGAAAGATGATTCAGAAGCTAAGCGCATTTTCTGTTCTTGCAGAGGACCTGAGTTTGGTTTCTACTATCCACATCAGGCTAATCACAACTACTTATATCTCCATCCCAGGAGATCTGAAACCCCCTTCTGGCCTCCTGCACCTGCACTGGTGTACATACCCATACAGACATATATAATTAAAAAAAAGTAGATCTTTAAAAGCACACACAGAAGTATATGGTACTTGAAGAAAGACACCTAATATCGACTTCTGATTTCCACAGGTACATGTGCACACACACCTATACACATAAAAGTAATTATATCCTCTAGATTGTGACTTTTGTCCCAGAGGCTTACTGCTGAATAAGCTCACCCTTTCTAGTTCCTTCTGAACTCTGGCTGGTTCAACTCAGCTCTTCTTGCTCAAAACTCCTATTCAAGCTGACTGATTCAAACTGTCTTCACTCAGATTCTCCCTGAATTGCTTTGCTTGGACAAACTGCCCCTGATTTTCATGAACTGAACTGAACTGAACTCCAGTGCATTCACTCCCAACTGACTGCCAAGTGACTGACCTCAACTCCCCTTCAACTGCCTCTCTCTGAACTCTTCCTAATAACCTCTTTTTCCTGTACTGTTTTCATGGGAGTTGGGTGTATCCTGTCTATGACTCATTCTGGCAAGTCTTTCTCTGATTTCTCACTTTGTCTGCCCCTCAGTTAGATGTCACTTTCAAACATGCCTGCTTCCTTCTATAAATTAAACTTACTTTAAATTTTTGGAATTAAAGGTGTGTACTAAGGGCATGTCTGCATTCCAGCCAGATCACAGAGACATAGAAGGCCTTTAGATGTGATCCCTTGCCAGAGCAGCCTTGTTGCTGGATTAAAATTCTTCTACACAGACACTGGTGCACCTATATACACATGTATACACACAAAATGGCAGATAACCAAAATGCTTTAATTAAATTAAGGCTACATAAACAAAACTGTTTAGAAAAATGTCACTTGAACATTTTCATAATTTTCATGGGCAAATAAGCTGTGAAAGGAAAGAGCAAGTCTACTAGATGTTAATGAAGTACATCTCTCCCGAACTAATAGCAGCATCCATTACAGCTGAAGGATATTGCTTCATAACTATATTTCTTGTCATCTCAGTTTAATCTACAACCAGATGATATTTCAGACTTATCAATTCCTTTAATATTTTCTGCATTAATATTTAATATTACTTGATCTGAGATAGATATTTGGTTAGAATCTTTATCTTGGCATGTCTCTACTTTTCATTTATGGTAATCACCTATGAACTAAGGGGAAAAAATAAGAACATTCACAGTAAAATTCAGTATTTCTGAATAGTACAAGGGAGAGTGCCTAATGAAGGTGCAGTTGCTCTTCATAAATCTTTGAGTTGTGTGAGATTTCATACTCTACATGAATTATGATAACTGCACACAACTTTTTAAAACTTGGTAGGAATGTTAAATTACATTAATTCCTCACAAATGTGGTTATTTTACATTTATTTGTATGTCTGTCTGTGTGGAGGTCAGAGAAAAACATGTAGGAATGGGTTCTCTCCTTCTACCATGCTGGTTCCAGGCGTTTAAACTCAAGTCTTCAGATCTGATGAGTGCCTTTACCTGTTAACCCATCCTGCCAGCCCAAGACATATTTTTTAATGTAATTTTTATTTTTTATATTAATTAGTTTATTCACATTTTATCCCAGCTGTATCCCCCTTCCTCATTCCCTCTCACTCCCACCTTCGCTTCCTCATCTCCTCCCATTCCCCTCTCCAAGTACATTGATAGGGAAAGTCCTCCTTCCCTTCCATCTGACCCTAGCTTATCAGGTCTCATCAGGACTGGCTGCATTGTTCTCCTCTGTGGCCTAGCAAGGCTGCTCCCCCCTCATGGGGAGGAGAACAAAGAGCCAGCCACTAGGTTCATGTCAGAGACAGTCTCTGTTCCCCTTACTAGGACACTGAGCTGCCATGGGCTACATCTGTGCACAGGTTCTAGGTTATCTCCATGCATAGTGATCGGTTGGAGTATCAGTCTCAGAAAAGAAAGACATGGCTCTTAAATTGGATTCATTTTTGGTCCTTTTCTAAAAACAAAACAAACAAAAAACATACAATTCAAATGAGATGCTAATGCATGCCTATTCTTTAAAGTTCCAAAAACTGCAGTATGTATCAAGAATAAAGATTAATAATGATTCTACTAATCAGAAGTAACTTATCAAAATTTTGATATGTATGTGTTCTGACTCTTATTGATCGTGTGGTTTGAGTGTGAAATATTTCTATAAGGATCATGTATTTGAAGACTTTTGCCCCTAGCTGCTGGTGCTGTGTTAGGAAGCCTGTTAAAACTTTAGGCCATTAACCTATGGGGGTAGGTAGCATGTCCTCCACAGCTACATGTGTGAGCACCTGGTCCTCAGCTTATGGCATTGTTTTAGGAAGTTGTGGAAGCTTGCATATGAGGCCTTGCACACTGACATGAGGCCATAAATGCAGCAGGGCGTGGTGTTTGTAGGTCACTGCCACATCTACCACAAGCTCTTGGCTTCCTAGTGATTTCCATGTAACAAGCAACTGCCACATGCTCTTGCCACAAGAGCCACAGCCTCCTCTATAACCATGAGCGCCACCATGTTCTCCCAACTTTGAACTATCTATCTTGCTATTTCTTCATTTAGAAATGTTCATAAATAATCTGGCTTTGGGTGATAGCCATCCACACTTTTATGCTTAGTCAAATACATTTTCAAGTTGTATATTTTGACTCATCCATTTTTGGATGAGTTATTGTAATATAGCTATTAATTGTCATAGCAAGAATTTTTCATTTGTATTTTTTCATCCTACAAGAAGGAATTTATAATTTTTTATTGTTTAGGTTAGTATATAAAGACATTTCTTGAAAATATTCTTTATTTTATTTATTTATTTTTTAATCACAGGTCATTCACTTGTATCCCAGCCTTAGCCCCCTCCTTCTTTCCCTCCCTCCCTCCCTCATCTCCTCCCTGCCCCCATTCTAAGTCCACTGATAGGAGAGGTCTCCTCCCCTTTCATCTGACCCTAGCCTATCAGGTATCTTCAGGACTGGCTGCAATGTCTTTATCTGTGGCCTACCAAAGCTGCTCCTCCCTGGGGGGAGGGGGTGGGGATCAGCAAGCCAGTCATTAAGCTCATGTCAGAAATAATCCTTGTCGCCCTTACTAGGGAACCCACTTGGATACTGAGCTACCATGGGCTACATCTGAGCAGGGGTTCAAGGTTATATCCATGCATGGTCTTTGGTTAGAGAAACAGTCTCATAGAAGACCCCTGTGCCCTGATATATTTGGTCCTTGTGGAGCTCCTGTCCCCTCTAGGTCATACTAACTCCCCTTCTTTCATATGATTCCCTGCACTCTGCTGAAGGTTTGGTTATGAGTCTCAGCATCTGCTTTGATACACTGCTAGGTAGAGTCTTTCAGATGCCCTCTGTGGTAGGCTCCTGTTCTATTAGTCTATTTTATATAGAAGATGAATCCTTCTGATTCACCCTGTTCAGTTTCATCTGAATGTGAATTATCCTCATTGGAAAAGCAAGGCTGCTGAGAACATTTAAAATGTATGTTTAACATGTTTATTAAAATGAAGAAAGGGAAAAATGGAACATCCCTGATCTGAAACTTGAAGTCAGTGCCTCCAAATAAAAATACCCTAGATTCTGAAACTTTTAAAATGCTGACTTGAATACCTCCAGAATGCTCCCTTCATATAATCATGATGTGGATGGAATTCTCAGGATTTAGTTAATGGGGGTTTATTCAAACATTTTTACCATTATAGTCTGAGGGCAGAGGATGAAGAGGTAGCATTAACTTGATTTCTAGAGAGGTAGGTAAGATTTAAGAACTCTGTGTACAAGCTAAAAAATTCAATGGACAGTGGAAGCCACCTGGAGTATTTAACAAGAGTGACAGGATGGAATTTCAGTCCTAGAAACACAATTTAGGTAACAATAAAAATAGACTTGGGCACTACAGGCCTGATCTAGGAAAATAAAAATAACAGTTGGGATTTGAAATCAGATCTTGAAGTCAGGAATTTGTAAGGTTTGGAACATGTGCTTCACTATGACAATGGCAGAACTTGAGCTGTGTTTCATTAAAGCCATTGTATACAGGAACTAGAAGCATATTGAATTTTCATTGTTGATTTAAAATGTTACACAGTTTGCTGTACCTTCACACGCCTTTTCTTGAGTTTCTCTTAACTTTGTGACAAATAACTCACAATACAAATCTTAGTTTCATGGTAATTCCCTTTTCTGTGAGTCTATATATTTTCACAAAACATTTTATCATTTTACAAGGGTAAATATAGAAATAGGACTTTTGTTATAAAGTTACATAGATATGCTTACCATGTATCATGCTTTGAAATATCGTTGGTAAGAATGAAAAATATGCATCTTCTGTTCCTACCAGAATGGACACACAGATATTCTAGATTTTGCATTGTCATTTCTTTGCTGGGAGTGGAGGATGGGGGATGTGAGCAGAGTGGTGTTTCACTACTTTTAAGTACCTGTTATATTCAGTTATGATTAATTTAACATTAATTAGATAATTTTGAAAGTTCCTGTTTTCTTGACTTTGCCAGTGTCAACGTGGAAATGAGTGGCAGCTAAATTAAAAGTAAAGTGATACAGCTTCAATTTGAAAAAAAAAAATTTGTTTGTTTGTTTGTTTATATGCATTGGAGTTTTACCTGCTGTATGTGTACTAAAGTCATGCAGTGTCCAAGGAGGCCAGAAAAGGGGGCATTGGATCCCCTGGCATAAGAATTAATAGATGGTCGCAAGCCACCAGCTCTCCACCCCTCAGAATTTCTATTTAAATAAAGGACATTTTATAAGTAGAAATGCAGATAAAATAAAAGTTTTCTTCTGTTTTCATACCTGCTTTTTCTTAAGTAGGATCGTCAGAACATTATTTCAAAAGCATCTTTAAAAAGCAAAAGGTTTTATGAAGACTAAGCTTGATCAAAGCTAACTTATTTCCTCTTTTGGATTCATGTTGCACATAAGAAATATTGCAGTAGTGTGTGTGCACATGTGTGTGTTTGTGGTGTTATGTTTTAAGGTGGGTGACCAATTGCGTTCACCAAAGAATCTTATTCACATAAACTAATTTTTGTGAAACTCATTCTGAAAAATACAGATTTGTATTTACGAAGTTCATGAGATAAGGTTATAAATGTATAAATATATATATTTATATATCTAAATGTATAAATATATATATACTATGTATATATGCAATATGAAAACAATGCTTATTTTACTATTTTCCTAATGTGTGGATTTTATTTGCCATTGCATGAACATAAATATCAGTTGAAGAAAGCCAGATTATACCAAATCACCGTGGAAATTCCAAGCTGTCAGGAACATTGGATGAGTTAAATGATTGTTTTATGAAACTAAAAAGGTAATTACTACCAATGGTGATTGTATAGATCCTAATCTGGAGTATAAAGAAAATAATGTATTTATATAACAATTTAGATTACAGCCTTTTTGAATTAAGCAACAATTGTATGAGCAAAAGAATTATATTCACTAAAGAATTGTTTATAAAATTTCTAATTATTTTTAATCTTAACATAGATCCATAGTGATGTCTAGTCATATTAAATGTAGTTTCTGTTGACATAATGGAAAGTAAAAATATGGCCCAGCATGAATCTATTAAAAAAAGAAAAGAAAAGAAAAGAAACAGGGTCTCACTATGATGCCCAAGCTGGTCCTGAAACCGTGGGCTCAAGCAATCCTCTCCATCAGCCAGGGAAAGTTAGGACTACTTACACAGGCCACTCATTTGGCTCTGAGGTTAACTTCAAACATTTTAAAAGTTATACTTGTGTTCTTATACTGTGCATGCAATCATTAATGTATGAATAGTGGGGCTGGAGAGATGGTTCAGTGGTTAAGAGCACTGTCTGCTCTTCCAGAGGTCCAGAATTCAATTCCTAGCAACCACATTGTGGCTCACAACCATCCATACTGGGGTCTGATGCTTTCTTCTGGCATGCAGGTATACATGCAGTCAGAGCACTAATATATATAAAATAAATAAATAACTCTTTCAAAAATATATGAATATGTAGATACTAATACTCATGGAATCGAGTTTTAATATGGCTTTCAAATCTGTTGTTTTTTTTCAGTCCATTTTTTTGGAGAGATGAGGAGGAGGAGGAACAGGACGGACAGGAGGAGGATGAAGCAACCACCAGTAGAATTCAGGCCAAACTGGTAAGACATTAAAATTTTTACTTAAATGTAGCACTTCAACATAACATAAATAGAGAAATTAAAACTGAGCTAGAGATTAAATTCATTTATAATGCTACAAATATATTCTTATAATATCAAGATTATCACTGGAAACTCAATTTTTGTTTCTGCTTTTCTGAAAAGATATGTCCAAATGAATGGAATAAATGCTATCTGCAACAGCTTTTTATATTATTTTCCTAAATGTTTTCACTGTTTTTAAGGCACTCTAACCTTTGATTGGCAATTTTATTAGATAATGTAACTGAAAATTCTTTTAAGTATATTTTATTAACTCAGCTCTTTAGAACAGATTTTCTGAGTGTGATGCCAGAGTAGCTAGTATCTGTTGACTGTTGTCCACAGTTTTCAGTCACTAGCTGTTTGATATGGTTAGCAGCAGTCTAGAGCAGCGAGGGGGCACTGTTTACATCATCAGTTGATTCTGAAGAGCTAAGAAGAAATGGAGAGGATTTTGTAAACATCTGCAGCATGAATTTAGGACATTATTAAGATGCTAGAGATACTATAATAGCTAGCTATAAGCATCTATTACCAGGCACTATTCTAAGCATTTTATAGATAGCGATTCATTTAATTCCCATTTCCTCTGCAAACAACAACAAATCTTATAAGGTAGATATGATTATAAATCTTGGTTGTTAACTTAATTGGATTGAAATATGCCTAGGAATTGGTAAGGCACATTTCTGTGTGTGTCTCTGAGGGTGCTTCCAGAGAGACAAGTGGGGAAGATCCAACTTCAATAAAGATGTCATGCTCCAGCATGCTGGGGGCTGTGCAGAACACAAGCAGAGGAAGGAGAAAGTCTTCTTGGTAGATATTCTTGTTCTGGTACCTGGGCACTATGAAGTAAATAGTTTGCTGGGCCACACAGTCATGCTGCCACGTTGTCTGCCTCATCACAGGCACACTAATCATAGAGAGAGACAGCTGTGGATTGAGATCTTTAAAACTAGTGCTGAAAGCAATCTTCCCGCAGACATTGTCAAATACAGGTGTTTTCAGTGACTAAGCGGTTTTTTTCTACTAACTTGATTCAATGGAATTCACATCTTGGTCATTAGCCCTCTAGAAACGCCTCTTCTTTCAAAACGCATTGCTCACGCTTTTAGAAACTGTATCTGGTCATGATAACTACCTCCAGTCCCCTGTGCATATATTCAGTTCCTTGCTTTTGTACCCTCTCATTCAAATCTTCTTGCTCTAGGTGGAGTCCTGCCTTTCTAGAATGGAGCACATTTGACATTTCTATGCTATCTGTGTATAGTATTTTCTAATAAAAAATGTTCATCTGACTTTGCTGGAATGTGAGCTCCTGGCCATGTTATCGGTTACATTTACATATAAATTGCAGGATTCTGTGATCTTATGCTGTACATACGTTACATTTGCCTTCTTTTTAGGGCATCTGAAAGAGAATTTTTAATTTCCATTACCTTGTAGAATCTTGATTGTGTAACTGACTAAAATAATCTACAGAAACAAAATACAAGACTTGATTATTCAAAAGTTGTAACTAGTATACTAGAGAATTAAAAACCTAACAATTCAAGTAACAATTTTACTTTCTATAAAAGTAATGAGAGAAAACATCAACATGGCATATAGGCTTAACAAGAAAAGGTAAAAATCTGAAAACTGAAAAAATTGAGGCAAGAGTTGACAAGATGGCTCAGCAGGTTAAGGCACTTTCCATCAAGCCTGATGATACCAGGACACACTTGATTGAAGAGAGAACTGAGTCCTGCAAGTTGTCATCTGACCTCCACAGGCATACACCATCCACAAAACAAGTATATAGATGCAAAAAGAAGAAGGAGAGGGAAGGAAGAAGGAAGAGAAAGAGGAGGAGAAGTAAGTCAGTTGAATATAACACACAGGAAGTAGGACATATATGAATAAGATACAAAACAATATGCTAACATTTAGAAATTTCAAAGACTCATCAATTTTCTTGGCAAGTATAAATTATCTAAATTGACTCAGGGTGAAAAAAATCAATAGCCATCTTAAAAACGTTAAGAAGCTATTATATTGAACCACTAAAACTAGAAATCTTGAAAAGAAATCACACTGGGAAGAAAGGTAACAAATTTCTAAAGCTTTTGTTTATACTGTCTTCATAAAATGCCCAAGTAATAGTGAAATGGAGAGACAAGACATGAGACATAATCTCTACCTAGAAACATAGAATTGGGAGTTCATCACTATATAGTTAAAGCACACTGCTGGTGTGCATTAGCAAATGCATGTAGACAAAATGAAGGAATGTTTCCTGCTCTCAAGTTCTGTTCACTCTCATGCTTGCTTACAGGTAGGGGAGGAGCACTGCACACTGCCAGGTCTTAATGACTTGCCTTCTCAACGAAGTTTAAGAGTAACTGATAAGTCTCTATTAAAAATTGAGAGTAAGTATTTGTGACATCATGATATAGATATTTCTATGTGAGGCAAATTTAAATATGTTAACAAGAAGTTATTGTTTAATGGCCAAAAAGCTTCTGTTTGTGAATGTTTTTAAACTTATGGAGATAAGTGGGAGCGGTTATACAACACTGTAGTAACTCAGTGCCACTTAACTGTACACTGAAAAGGGTGAAATAGTAAATTTTGTTATACATATTTTATTATAACAAAAGCTAGATTATAGTAATGTTATTTTGGTTACAGTGTATAGTCAGTCACTAATATCATTTCATTCACAAATATGCATTTTCCATGTAAGATATACCTACAATAACTTTGGGCCCCAAGTAAATTGACCAAAAATTTAGAAGCTTAAAAAAAGTAAGAATAACTTAAACTTGACCACCTAGCTTCACATATATATGTAAATGCAGAAGAAATGTACTGTTTTACAATCCATGCAAATCAAAATGTTTCCTCCGTTCTCTCCATAGTGGTAAGAGCAAAAAGGATAACATATTTTATGTAAAATTTACTCTTGTTGTTTACACACTTTCAGGTTTTTAACTCTTCTTTTGGAATATGAACCATCTTTTAGCTTTTCAGAATTGATGAGTATGGTTATAATCTCTCTAGGAGAGAAGCTTATTGAACAAATGAAACAAGTAAAGGAAGAAAGAAAATATCTGGAAAATATTAGAGACGAACTAATAAAAAAAGTTGAAAAGCTGTTTGAACAAAATAAATCGAAACAATATCATGGTAAAGTTTATTACCCATATTTTATAACTATAAAGAAAACAAATCCTAAGTTCTACAAAATTGATAGTTTCTTTATAAATAACATTATAATTAATATTTAGTTTCACTTGTTAAACTTTAAGTAAAACATGATTGAAATTCATTCAATATAGAAAACACAATCATTTCTCAACTTTTATACAATAACTGCTTTGCATATGGCTTTGTAAACTAAAACTTATTATTTTTTGCCACCAAATTTATTTTTAATTAATGCTTTCATCTATTTAAGTATTTATATGTTTAGCAGATTTAGACACTGCTGTAGGGCTGAGGAGATGGTAACAGGCACACACAATCATTTTCCTACCACTGTAAATTTTAGGGTCCAATGGAGAAATGAGAACCAAGTGAAGAATAATGATAGATCTTGTTTAGTGCTATTATAAACAAACTGTACAATTGTGTGGATAGGAATTTGAAGGAAGAACACCTAAATGGGATGGGGAAAAAAAATCAAGAAAGCCTTTGAGAAAAAAATGGGATACACTAGGATCCAAGTGTGTTTCCTGACTCCATGCCCTCTGCCATGCTTTTCCCTAGTCATCAGTAATCTTTTTCAACTTGTTCTCCTCAGTTCTACTCTGCTCACTAGGTTGTTTCCCACAGGTCATTCAAGATCATATACCATGAACTGTAGCCATCTTTGAGCCTTTGAACTGCCCTTGGTGCTTAATTTTGGGATAATGTGCCTCTCTGCTAGTATGAATACATGATGGAACTTAAGAGAAAAAGTCATTTGCTTGCAATAAAATCAGAAGCAATATGATTAGGGCTAGTAGGAATGAATGGAAATGTGAGCCAGAGTGAAGAAAGTAAAAGATAATGGTTTGGGAAATATTAAATTACTTGAGAGGCCTTCACTTGGGGTTGCGTTTGAGTATTATAAAGAAAATGCCATAAATGGAATGAACTTATTTTAGGATTCTTGATTTACAGCAAAATACTAGAACTGCACTAAAAGTGACTGAAGGCCACAGACCATTTCATAAGCTCTGAAGACTATTCAAAAAGACTATTAGTCACTGTAAAAGCAGCAGAAGCGACAGCCTTGTAATGCTGAAAGTCAAATGAACACTGCACTAGAAGTCACAGGGCCTTGATTCCAACACTGAATCAGGCTTTTACTTATGCAAGTTTTTTACTTTTTTCATATCTAAAATGAAAATTATGAGCCACTTACAAGTAACACACACATACTCGCACACTCAGATATTTAATGAAATGGTGTTGGCAGTAGGGCAACTAGTAGAAGCTGCTGAAATCAGATATCAGGGTTGGAGAGACAGCTAGGTGCTGAGCTAAAGTTCCATGCAACTATGGGACATGAGACCACCTTAAATGTAGAATTTTTTCATGTAAGTTTTCAGTTCTATGATAATCTCAAAGAAATAAATACAGGAGCATCTTGGTGGCATCCCACTTTGCAGACTGTTTATATTTAGCTTTTCCTGAGTACCGAAATAATTTACTTTTCTCAGCAAAGGGCCTTGTATAGAGGAATGTTAAGTTCAGAACATGGCTATTCTGGCAGGGGATCACATTCACAGCCCTTGTATGTCTGTGTGATCCAGTGGGAATACAAACACTCCTTTAAGTCCTGAAAACAGAGGCAAGCAGATCTGAGTTTAAGGCTAGCCTGGCATAGAGCAAGTTTCAGGTAAAGAAAGGCTTAGGTCCAGGTATGGTGGTACATGCCTTTAATCTCAAACCATGAAGGTAAAATTAGGTTGCAGAAGGAAGCACCCATGTTTGAAAGTGATGTCTAATTGAGTGGCAGAAACAGTGACGAATCAGAGAAAGAGTTGACAGAATAGAATACTGAATAGATAACGGAATACAGAATACAGAATAGATAAGGGAAACTACTTAAGGGCCAATACAGAAAGGAGAAGAGGTCGTTTTATTGGGCCAGTAATACAGAGACAGGGTTGTAGATAACTGAGGTGAAGACTGAATGAGCCAGAGAATGAGAAGGAGCCAGGAGATTAGAGCAGATTACTTGAGTTAGTTTGAGGGCAAGCAGAGCAATTGAGAGGCTGAGAGAGAAGCCACGTTGAATAAGTCATCTGGGAGAGGAGTTTGAGCTAGAAGAGCTGAGATGAACCAGCCAGCCCAGAGCTCAGTAAGAACTAGAAAGGGTGAGCTTACTAAGCAGTAAGGCTCAGAGGCTGAAAATGTTCTAGGCCTAGGTTAGACTGTATGGAGGCTGGGAGCCTCCAGGACTAGGCCTAGGTTAGCAGACAGAGGCAACCTGAAGCAGGTGAATAAAAGTTCCTTTTACAGCCTTGGATTGAAAAATTGCCTGTATTAATTACTTTTTTCATTGTGTGACAAAAGTACCTGAGAGAAGCAACTGAAAGGGAAGAGGATTTTTGCCATATGTTTAAGAAGGGGTGAATTCCATTCCAGGGCAGAAGGCATGTAGAGGGAGCATCAGATTTCTAGTCCAGGCAAGAAACAGAGAGGCTTTCCCCCAATTTTTATTCATTTGGGGATCCCAACCAATGGTATGCCATCACTCACATTCAGGATACATTTTCCATCTTCAATTAATCCTCTCTGGATACCCTCAAAGTTGTGTCATAGGTGATTCCAAGTCTAGTCAAGTTGATGATAAAGATTAACTATCATACTATGCTTTAGAACATGAGGGAAATACTTAGAGTAACTCTGATAAATGATGATTATGAGTCCACAAAACAAATCCATATGGTGGCTGAATGAATGAAATAGCCTTAGCATTTATCATATCTTTCAAAAATAAGCAAAATAAATATAGATTGGTGTATATGTGGTATTTTTAATTTTTTAAAATACACTTTACCTTTATGTGAATACACATACAGCTGTGTAGATATATGTGGGTACCTTCAGAGACTAGAAGGTGAATCAGATCTCCTGGAGCGAGAGTTAGAGGTAGTTATGAATTTCCTGATGTGGGTGCTGGGAACTGAATTCAGGTCCTCTGGAAGAATAGCACTGAAGAGCTGGGCTTTCTCTATATCCTCAATAATTTTTTAATAAAGACTTTTCAGAACTCTGCTTAAAGAAAAACCTGGTTATGGTTTATAGATGTATCGTTACTTTAGTGCATGTGTAGCAGGAAGCGATAGGCAGCTAGTGATGACATATCCTGCTGTTGCTAGGTCCCTGAAGGAGGCAGTGGAGATGCCTGGTTGCTAACATTTACGATAGGAATGAATTCTATTGGCTGATAAACAGAACTCAGGGCTAGGGGCCTAGAGGAAGGATCTGAGGTAAGTATAAGGATAGATTCTAATGGTGGAGGATTTAAAATACGTGATGCCTTTTTCAAAGGGATGTATTCTATTTATTCATTACAGGACTAGGGCCTAAACAATGCCCAGGATATTGAGGATAGTGGGAGTTCCATTTGGAGGCTGGGTCCTAATAGAACAGAAAAAACAAACAAAAAAACAAACAACAAAAAACAAAAAACACCACCAGGTTGATTGACCACTTTTCATTCTGGAATTCCAAGTGAACTAGGTGTCTTTCATTTCCTACTATTGAAGAAAATAGGTCCATGTGATTGACAATCCTGGTTATCCAATGCTTAGTCTAAGCTGTGTTTCCTACATCCATTACCATCCAAAAAGGAAAGAAAGGAGGCTTAGGAGGAAATACTGAACCAAGGCAAGACTGAAATCCAGCAAGGCAAACTCCAAATCCTTTAACTCTATGTCTGATGTCAAAGGGCTTAGTTGGCTCTTAGGATCTCCACTCCTTCCAGCTTTGCTGACTGGAATACAGTTCTCTTTCTTGGGCTATTTCCATTCCTTATTTGCAGATCTCAGCAGATATTTCAGGGCTCTGACATTTCCAACAATCTTGGGGTCCAGTGCAATCCAGGCTTCACTTTCACAGCTTCACATAATGGCCTCCCAGGGCCTCCTTGCAGTGAGTCCCCTGCCACAGACTCAGTAGCTCTCCTTAACCATGGAGGAAGATTCCACAACCCCTTTACTCCTGTAGCTTTGATTCTAAAACCAGAACCACATGAATGAAGCTGCCATGTTCTTGCTTGAGCCAGAAGTTGGTCCCCTTCTTGATTACATCTGCATAAGTTTCTGTTTATAGTTGCTTTTTAGTCTGAGGAAATCCCTTTGGCCATTGCCTTTCACAGGGTGCAGAATTAGCTGAAGGCACCCTCCCTTTATTACTCTATTTAGTATCCATTTAGCATCAGGTCTTTCTTAAAGTGGGTCTAGCATTACATTCCTTGTGCTCCTTTTCTCCTCAAACTCACATGTTATATTTCTTTTTGCCTCTCTCTTTTTCATTGTAGATCTGTATGACTGGTCACTAATAACCATGTGACACAGTCAATACTAGGTTGACTTGAAATTTCTGCTGCCAGTCATATTAATCCAACATTTTTCAATTTAACCTCAGAGACATTCTTAGGAGAAAGGCAAAAAAAGCAGTGTTTGCCAAATGATTACAATAATTTTCTCCAGACCAGTTGCTAATATTTTTCCCCTTTTGAAAATTCTTGAGCTGGGCCTCTATAGTTCACATTGCTCTCAGCACTACTGTCTTTTAAGTTCTTCCTAGGATGGCTCATTAAAACCCTTACAGCATTCAACCACTTTCCTAATCCAAAGTCCTAAAGTCAACCTTCCTCCTACAAGCAACATGCTAAGGCCTGTCACAGCAATATCCTGGCCCCTAGTACCAACTTCTTTTATATTGCTGTGAAGAGACACCATATACAAGGCAACTTATAACAAAAAGCACTTACCTGGTGGCTTGCTTACAGTTTCAAAGTTAGCCGATGATCATCATCGTGGGAAATATGGCACTGGGGCAGTAGCCAAGAGCTTACATTTGATGCACTAGCAGGAGAGAGAGAGACTGAGCCTGGCTTGGGCTTTTCACCCCTTCCCCCAGAGCTACACCTCCCAACCAGGCCGCATCTTCTAATCCTCTCAAAGACTTCTACTAACTTAGACCAAGCATTCAAATGTATGAACAATGGGGCTGTTCTCAAACCAATACACTAAGTATGTCATTAACTAGCAAATGTTTCTCTCACCTCTAAGGTACTTAATAAGTCCATAAGAGATGGAAAAGAGGAGAGACAGAAATGCTTTTTTTTTTTTAAACTTGAGTCCTTTCTACCTTAAAAGTTTAATCCTTTAACAGTATCAACCTATAACTTGTGTAGTTTTTGTTTTGTTTGTAGACTGTGATAGCTGGAAGAAAAAATACTTTGACAGTAAGAAGGTCACAGAATCATTGGAGGAAGTTTTAAGAAAACTTAGAGAAGATTTGGAACTTTACTATAAAAAACTGCTCATGCAGCTTGAAGCCAGGGAAATCAAGATGCGACCAAGGAATCTGGCAAACATCTCAGATTCTAAGGTACTATGCCCTTCCATAGAAAAATCCTATGCAGGAAGCATGCTTTATACTTGTATTATTGTGTTTAGGATTCTGTGGGTTCCTTGTAGCAAAGCTTGCTTGGACAGTTAAAAACAAAATCTGTGGCCTGGTATCCAGGAGAGCCCCTGAGGAGGCAACAGAGATATTTCTTTTAGGGCCTTGCTGCTTTTGGTATTTCCTCTCTGTTTTTATCGATGGCCTCCTGATTTAAAAAACAAACAAAAAACAATAATAGCAGTAAAGTTGCCAATGGCAAATAGGATCATATGTTTTTAAAATAGGAGAGAAACCTGGTCCAGAGCAATGAAATATAGAAATCTTTCCTTTAGCCTAGTGGAGGTCAACTAGGTAGTAACAATGGCCAAGGAATGCTCTGGCTGCCTTTGGCAAATTAGCATTACAAAGAGATAAAAACCTAATAAGCAAGAGTAAGGTGCTAACTGAGCCCACTATAGCCCTGTGGGGAGAGGGCTTTACTGCACCCAGAGAACTCAGAATTACTGCTATTCCAAAGAATTTTTTACATTCTATGAAATTTTGGTCAATTCACTTTTTTGAGATAATCTTGAATCTAACATCTCAGACAAGATTATCCTTTATTGTAGAATTCTACCACCTAATTAAATAGGCAAAAATAAATAAATAAACCCAGGAGATATTTAACAGTTTGCTTTTTGTTAGATTGATCTTACATATCCAAAAGACTTTAAAATGTGTTAATTATGATAATAACTTCTTCACTTTAGAATGATGAAATAGTGAATATTTACTATTTTAGGTAAATTTAATATAAAAAAACAAGATGTAGCTAAAATACAAGATGGGCTAAAATAATTACTTACAACATTAGTTGATACTATTTTAGTGTAGTTAATACATTTATCTTGCACTTTTATTGGTTCAACATGAGAATCTGTTTCACAAAGGAAGTTTAAAATTTTTTTGATTGTTTTGTTTTTTTTTGAGATGAAATTTCTCTCTGTAGCCCTGCCTGTCCTGGAACTCGCTCTATATACCAGGCTGATCTTGAACTCAGAGATCTACCTGCCTCTGTCTCTGCCTCCTACATGCTAGGATTAAAGACAGCCCTGCATGGAAATTTAACATTTTAAAAAACTTCTTTAGTAAAGAGCACTGTATTTCATAAGGGTTTCTAGAAAAACGTAGATTTTCTTATATAAAACATTTAATTATTAAATGTTAAAAATAATCCTAATCTGATTCAACTAATATAATACTCTGCTTATTTTTAAGTGTTTGCTAATATTTTCATAAGTTAATAGTGTTGATGATGTTAAATTAATAGCCAGTTTTACAAATATAAATTTTGTTTTCTGAGACAGGTTTGTAATATGTACCCAACCTGGCTTCACACTTAAGATCCTCCTGCCTCATTCTCCTAAATACTGAGATTATAAGTGTGTGTCATGATACCAGGATCATTTCTTAAAAATAATAAATGACCAGTGCAGAACAGAAGCAAAAGTCGTCGCTAATGCACAAGAATTCAACAGAAAGAAAGACATCCAAAACAATGATATTGTTTTCTGAAATGGATTGTTTTCATGACCACTTCATAGCTTATGTTCACAAGGCCATTTAGGTTAAATACACGAATATACTAAATAAATAATTTTATGTCTCACACAGAATTATCTTATAATCCAGATTACTGAAGTACAGCATGCAATTGACCAACTTAAGAGAAAATTGGATACTGATAAGATGAAATTCATATTAGAAGTTAAGGTAATCTATATTTCTCCTTATCAGATTATAATATTTATCTTGAAATAAAATAGTTTGGTGTTTTAAATTTGAATGTCAATGTTATAAGGGGACTGACTTTTTAAATTGGTACTTTAACTAGAACAGGAATGAACAAAATGCAGGAAGAAAACTAAATATTATAAAAGGATGTATGTTGTAATAAGCCAAAGTAAAATTTTACTTAAAGTAACTAAAACTTAAAGGACCATGTGAGACAGTACAATATGGGGGGAAAAACAATTTAAAAATCGCCTTTCTACACTTTCTACACTCATGCACTAGCATGCATGAGATCCTGTATTTCAGACATTGATAAATCTGACAAACCTCTGGGTAAGCCCCTAACTCCCACTTAATTTGTTCTCTTTTCTTGGGTGATCAAATGTTGCTATTGTCATACATATGAAACATGGCTCTTCTCCTAGACACTAAGTGCCCAAATGCTTCTAAGGGTCTTAAATCTTTGATTTTCCTCATTTCATAATTAAGGAAACTTGAGGCCAACCAAAAGGCTAAGTACTTTGCTCAGAGTTTAAAGTACAGGTTGGAACATCTATTCCTCATGCTGTGAATGTATGGACCAATAGCAGTAGCACCACCTATAGATTTGTGAAGAGTAGACATAATGGTGGCACACATCTTTAATCCCAGCACTCTAGGAGGAAGAGGCAGGCAGAGCTCTGTGAGTTCAAGGTTAGCCTGGTCACAAAATGAGTCCAGGACAGTCAAGGCTACACAGAAAAACCCTGCCTCAGGGGAAAAAAATAAATCTCAGGCTGTCCCTGGCTTATGGTATCAGATGCTGCATTTTAAAATGAATCCTCCTGTTAAGACAGCCATTAAACCTTTAGAAGCACTGCTTATGCTCTACTACCGTGGGCCTGGAGCATTTGTTGTACTTGCTACACAAGGAGAGCCAGGCATGGGGGCACACACCTGTTTTGAAGATTTTGAAGATAAAGTAAAAAAATAAGGTTTCTTTTAAGGACATTATCTCATGCACATCTGCTTAGATAAGTTAGGCCTATTAAGTGGGATGTATAACATGAGTTTATCATAGTAATCCAATAGGAATGAAGGCATGAAAGGCAAATGAGGGCGGTTCCAGTCATGACACACTTTCAGAAGGGTAAGATGAAGTTCATTTCTAAAAGGCACTTCTTTCTACAGATGAGAAAACAAGCAGTTTCAGATTTGCAGACAATAAAAGCTGACCTGACACAGAAGAAAATGGGTACATCTTTCCGATCTCCATTATGTATGTTCATTTAACTTATCTCTTAAAATTTTAAATATTTATTTGAACAAGATAAGCTACTATGTTCCTTGGTGTAATGTTTTACATAAATTATAAGGTTGAGAATAAATTTAAAGAATAAGATTTAACTTTTACCCCCCCCCCCCAAGGGAGGAGCAGCCTTACCAGGCCACAGAGGAAGACAATGCAGCCGGTCATGATGAGACCTTTTAGGCTAGGGTCAGATGGAAGGGGAGGAGGACCTCCTCTATCAGTGGTCTTGGAGAGGGGCAAGGGAGGAGAAGAGGGAGTGAGAGAGGAATTGGGAGGGGACGAGGGAGGGGGCTACAGTTGGGATACAAAGTGAATAAATTGTAATAAATAAAAAAAAATAAAAGATTTAACTTTTAGTTCTTATATGGCTATTGCAAAGTATAACATAAATCTCTAAAGTGGTTGTTTTTGTTGAAGATTTTGAGTCTATTACCTATTTTGCAGTACTGTATTTTAAAACTGCTTATTTTTAATAAAATTAAGTTTAAAGGGCAGTAGGAAAGCAAAATTAATGACTAGCAAAACATGTAATGTCTTAGTAAATACCAGTGTATTTGCCTGGAAATAGAATTGTGTTAATGTCCAATAATCTAACTTGTATTGATTTTAAAAGTGTAAAAAGATTTTTAGAAATACAAAGTTATTCAATATATACCAAGGAAGAAAATAATTTTACTGTCATAAGCAACTATGGAAATAGAAAGCAGAATATTGTCATAACAGATAGTCAATAAATCATTTATTTTGGTTTGGAAGGGGATCATACATAAAGAAGATAGAATTTATGTAAATGGAGCTCAAAGGATACAAACATTTAATCTAATTTTTTCAGGAAGTAATACAATTACAGTGTAATGAGTTGTTTTATTTTTTATTTAATATTTTACATGCACGGATGTTTGTCTATCTGTGTGTCTCTGTCTATGTGTACCGGAAGAGTGCCTCAGATCCCCTGGAGCTGGAGTTGTGAGCAACCACCAATGCTGGGAGTGACCCAACCTCTAGAAGACAGCAGGTCTCACCTGATGAGCCAGCCCTGTAACTCTATTGATTGCTTTGAGAAAGAGAACGAGGACTGCTTTACATTTAGAACTTTATTTTCACAATATTAAATTTACTTTTAGTAAAAAGGAACAAGTTGAGAGAATAATGTTCTTAGGTAGCTTAATAGCAAAATGCAAATGAAAAAGAAAGTAGTCAAGAGTGAGTGATAAAAGTGAAGGACCGGGAATAAGTGTGGAGAGTAAAGAGTGAAGAGCAGCAGCATATTCTTCTTACGGGGAATCACAGCAACCCTACTATCCACACCGAGCCACTAGGTACACACAATTTTACACCTGTATTCATTTTTACAGAATATGTTAATACCAGGAAGGAAAATCCAGCATGAAATTTTGAAAGCGATTTTTATAATTAAATTATAGTCTTGAAACATTGAGGAATATTTAATAGAGTAAGTTGACTTGTTTCTTGCTTTTTTTATTCCTGGATATTTAAGAAATGTATGTATTTTTCAAGTGCAAATGAAGAATTTTTTTATTTCTTATCTGTGTATTGAGTATACCATTAAGTGAGTTATGGCAAAACATGACAAAAATATATACATTTTTATCTCTTCAAAAAGTTAGATCTACTTATACAGTTCAGTCCTGGAAATCTACTAGTCTGACAGAAGTGCTCCTCGGTATCACAGCTTTGGCTTCAAGGCTCCCCACATTTCTTTCGTTTGCTCTCTGGCTAGAGTGTCATCTGAGTAATCAAGACAGTTGGCATTCCACATGCCAATGCCCCGCAAGCCATAGTCTTGGACGTACGCTGCCTTCAGTGAGATGCTCCGGGGGTTGTCATACCACACTTGATGAAAATGGCCAGCAGGGTCCTATACAGAAGCAGTTAAGTGGGAAAGTTAGGCTGTTCAGTGCAACAGTGCAACACTGAAACACAAGGCTTGAAAATGCAATGAAAAATGTGATAGCAAGTCACTTTCCTGCTCTAATAGTTCATGGTTATACACATGGCCTTTCATTATCTTGTATTTCAGCAAGCGTGGATAGTACACAACCTAACCTATTTAGAGGCTTCTCTGCCTTAGGAGTCTTTATTTGATCTGTTCTAATGATTATCAACTAAGATGTACACTTTATCATTGTAGAGCATGGAGCTTTTAAATGTACAGACTCTAGTAAGACCTGGTGAACACCTGGTGATGAACTCATGAGGTCAAGGCAAGCCTGACCTACCCAGTGGGATCCTGTCTAGAAAAACACAAGACAAAACTAACAGTTCAGATTAATATATTTTCACTCTGCATAAAACATGTTGAATTAAATGCTTCTAAGGCACGTGCTGTGATGCATATTTATTTTATGTTTTAATATTCCATTGGGTAACTCTGATAATGCAACCTAGTTTAAAAAGAACAACTGCTACTATATATTAAAACCAGCACATTTATTTCTTTGTTTGATTATTTCTATTCCTTACAGTTTCTGGAAGTGTGCCAACCTAGGAGTTCAACAGATGAATACTGTTTGTGATAAATCAGCCAGGAGAACAGGTAATAAGAGTGGAGGAAGAAAGTGCTCCTTCCTAGGTCTTAATAATTGATTCTAAAAGGCTGTTGGAGGTGACTCCCCAGATGACTTTGCACAGAACTGCCGAAGAAGAGTAAATTAGACTGTGGTCATATACTTACCTTCTCTTCTACTCTGCACCACTGTCTCTCAAGAAACACAAGGGTTATTAGAAAAGATACAAGGAAAAGAACAAATGAAGGAGAAAAATGTATTAAGAGGAAAATCCAGCACCATAATAAATAATAATTTACTGTTGCTATAGGCATTAGGAAACGGCGTAAAGCAACCTGGATGAACGCCAGTACTGTTGTTATCTGTGGCAGCGCTCTTAGAATGAGTTTCTTGACAGCCCACTTGAAAGAGCAGTAGGAACATGGTAAACCAGCTGCAGTACGGTTCAGCCCGTAGGCTCATTCAACGCAGGCAAACCTCAGCCCTCACTCTTGGTGCACTGACTGCTGTAAGCCTGCTTGCAGTGTACATGGTTCTAGAATACATGAGTCCAAAATGAAGCTGCTCTTGCCGAAGAGAATAAAGACAGAATGATTCTTTTCAAACACAACAGAAACTTGATTGCATTGTGACTAAAATTGAAGACCCTAACAGTAACAACAGATTGTTGTTTAAAGTGCCATTAAATGGCCTCCAAGGCTCCCCAAAATGTTTCATGAATTACTTGGCCTCAAATAGTGTGTTCTAGATAGTGCTTACCAAAACACACTCAGTAAGATGAAAGGACTATCTCATACATAAGAGTTTAAACATAAAGAAATATAAGAAAAAATGTTATCAACCTTAATTTTATCAGTGGATACTGTGTATTGTGTTGAAAACCATACTGAATTCAATTAAAATATGCAACTAATACATGTGAATAAAAATATCTTAAAGTGTGTCTAGGAAGTAAAGAAAATATACTTAAAAACAAATCTATCTTTCAAAGGAACTAAAATGGTAGTTATATCAGAAGAGGGGATGGGGAAAATGGAGACACTCAAAGGACATGCTATTTTAGTCAAAAGAAATAAGTTGAAAAGATCTGCCAAATGTAAAGACCAAGGTAAAAGGGATTAGATATTGAAAAAAAAATTGCTGATTTTAACTGATTATGGTTTCATATACTTCTCACTATAAAAGAAGTCTGTGGAGTAAGATACCTGGTAGGTAACGGATTTAACAATCCCACAGTTTAGACAGTGTTAAAGCAGGTTGTATACCATAATTAGATACAGTTTTGTCAATTAAAAATGTTATTTTTTTAAAAAAAAATGAATTATGTTTCTGCATCTTCTCCCTTAGTGAATAAAAATTATAAAAATCCCTGTGCGTGACAGTATATGCTGTCACTACATACATTTCTAAATTATATATAATTGGTTACTATAATGACAAAATATTCTTCTCCTGCCTGGTTATAAAACAGGCTCCATGTTAAATAAATAACTTTGTGTATTACAACACTTTTTAAATATTTTAATATAATTCCGTACAATAGAAATTCCAGACCAACAGATATGGCCAAGTGTTTTCTAAATATATTTGGTCATAGCACATACATGCATATTTGCATATGTATGTATGTGCTTATATATAAAGAATGTTAACAGTCCTCAGAACAGAGGTCTAGTAATATTACTTTATATTGTATATAATATAAAAATATTACATCATACACATATATTAGGCATATAACTTTGATTCGGAAGTTTAGACAGCTTAGCACTATATATCTGTAGTAATGTGCTTGCAGTCAACTTTCTATAAGCAAGTATCAGATCCAGTCAGTAAAATATAAAGACGACATATAACTAATATTTCAATATTCCTTTAAAGTAACGTAATTCAAGGTAACTTTAAAGATAATTTATACTTAAAGTTTTTTAGATTTAAAACAAACAAACAAAAAAAGGTTTTACTTTTCCTAAAGGTGAATTGTGAAACAACAATTCTTTGCCTCTGGAATAGACATCTCTATTGCCACTTTTTTTTTAACCACACCCATAGTTCTTTTTTTAACCACACCCATAGTTCTTCAGGTTTTCTTATGTAATATTTTTGTTATTAACTTTTAACACTTCTTACAATTTGTTTTACTTATAAAATAAACTTTCTGGATGCCATTTTTTTTTCAATATGAAAATCTATTGTGACTCATCTACAGATCTCAGTTTCATTCCTACCTCTCTGGGTCTCATCAGAATCATTAAGCTATTTTGAAATAAGTAGAGATTTTCAAACATAAAACCTACTCTGGCCGAAGGCCTTTCAAAAGCAAATTACCTTAGCATAATTGTAAACTATTAAGGAAGTTCTGTTTGTAATACACATATTTTATAGAACTTTCAAAAGAAAATTGACCAAGCAGAGTAACTGCACTAGTAATGTAACTTGAATTGTTCCTCCAGGCAACTAAATGTCCTGGTTATATACACAATGAGGTTTATACACATAACCAGTAAAATTGATATTGCTACTGCCAAATATCTAGCCACAAAATGTGGAGTTATGAAAACCAATAACATAAATGCTCATAATTTGTGAAACTGTACCTTGTAGTTATAGTAAGGAGCTTGCTGGTCTTTATTCCATTGACTTCCAGAAACAGAACTATTTACTTGCTTCATGATTACTTTGTAGGGCACCTGATGCCCTGCAGCATCGCTACAAGGAGCCCCCCTAAAAGGGACCTTTGCAATGGTGCAAACATCATCCTAGAAATTTAAAAATGTTCATTTTATTAGTAAGCAAATGTTAAAAGCCAAATGAGAAAAATAATAAAAACTGTTAGAAATAAAAGATATTCTATGAAGAACCTGACTATACAGAAAAAATCATAAAATTTAATAATAAAGTAAACTATACAGCATTCAGAAACTTCCATTATTTTTAAAGAATTAAAAAGAAAGTTTAGGGCTGGAGAGATGGCTCAGAGGTTAGGAGCACTGGCTGGCTGTTCTTCTAAAGAGCCTGAGTTCAATTCCCAGCAACTACATGGTGGCTCTATAGTGAGATCTGGTGCCCTCTAATGGTAAGAAGGCACACGTGCAGGTCCACTGCTGTATAAATAATAAATAAAACTTAAAAAAAGTTTAGCCTTAAAATGTATTTCAAAACTTATTAAATAAAGTTTCATCTATTCAGAGCAGAACAAAATATATAATGGAGTAATATCACATAACAAATAAGTTGTTCTTACCTCTGAGAGATTGAGGCAGAGGTAATCATAGCCATACCAGGGAACACCCATTACGAGTTTCTTAGGGCTAATGCCCATCTTGATGTAGTCACTGTATCCTGGTCACATGGAAATAGAAAAAACATATAACTCTTTCATTTATGTATCTGTTAATAAGTATATACAAGCTGGGCAACCACACTAAACTTTAAATTTATAAAAACAGGTATATGTGCAGATGTAAGGTGGGTTTTCTTCTATGATGTCATAAAAGTTATCCCTTAAGAACTGGAAGTTCTATGTCTTGCTTTCTAAGCTGTTTCTTTTTAAATAAGAGACAATTTCCAATGCAGATGATATGGAGACAAAATACACAAAATATAATAGGAGAAGTGAAATTTTCAAGAAATCATACTAATTTTATGTGTTAACTGCTAACATATACTTGATATTTGAGATTCCAAAGCTTCAAAAAGATTCTACAAATCTTAAACTTTATGACAGTGACACTCAGAATTTCTTAAAGAAACTCAAGTGTTCCATGTTTAAACGTATTCTGTATGTTTCCTAATGGCTGCTGGAGATAAGAAATGTCCTCGCTCTTCTGCTGTGGTAACCTGTAGTTTAGTACACACAGACCATGAACGAGCTCTCCAGCTGCTCCTGAGAGTGTTGACTGGCTGGGTCTTGTGCAGGTCTTATGTCCGCAGCCAGAGCTGCTGGGAACGTGCAACTGCATCACCACATCATAACTGGAAGACACTTTTGTTATGGGCTCCTCAACTCTACTTCTTAGACTTTCTGTGCACACAAGTGTTCCTGACCTGTGTGTGTGTGTGATACAGAGTACCCATGAGTTCCCATTTGTGGTTGAGTATATATGGTTGAGTCCATATATGGTTATTGTTTGTACTCTGACTCGCTGTGAATTTCCGCATTAACTTCCATAATATTAAACAAAAATATCTTGGCATACGACAAGAGTAAAAGCACCCATTTCTGATTTGAGTTCCATCTCATCTATAATGTAGGAGCAATGATAATATAGCTGTCCCATAAAACTATGATAAGTAAACAAAATTTTCCAATTTTTTAAAATACGAAAGTTCTCCAATTTACTTTTATTCTTTGAATTTTATTATATTTTATTATTTAGAATATATTTTATTATATTTATAAAGCATGCTTTTATATAGAAAGTGTATAAATGATTTAAACATGCTAAAAGGTACCTTGGTATCTGAGGTTTGGGAATAAATATCACTAATTAAGTGATCATTTCTTCGAGTCTTACCAGTTAACGTCTGATTGTAGGGAGCATTGGCTGCTGCAGTACATTCTGACCAGATCTGACTCTGCTCATCGTAAGACATCACAAAGAGAAAGTCACAGGCATCCGCAAGCCCAGTGTAATTATAGCACCTGTTGTCTATATTCTTTGGTGACCAAGCTACATCAAAGGTTACCTGTGAAAAAAACTACATATTATTTTATATAATGTGACAAAGTATATCAGATTTTTATTTTTCTTGCCTTGTTCTACTCAAGAATAAGGAAGTGCTTGTAATGTATGCATATGGGAGCTGACACGTGTAGACAAGGTCTAATAAATACATTTTGTTACTACATTGGACTGGCCTGCATCTGGATCTGGATACACAAGCACCAAGAGAGAACACTGTAAAGAAAAAGAATTTCAAATCCAAAGGCTGGGCTAGGAACTCCCTTATTGAAAGAAGCAAGTTCAATAATAACACCCAATGTGGGGCCCCTGGATAAGTGGAAAATGAAGCCACATGAAAAGAAATCAAATACAGAGACTTTAAAGTCCTGTGAAGGCTACGTAGATCACCTGTTGGTTCTGCCTGATGGTTAATCCCTGATTGAAAAATATATACACAGTAGGGTGGCCCAAGATGACACACAGTCGGAGGCTTTACTCATCAACTCAAATGCTTAATGCATCACTTAAATGATCTTAGTTTCTGGAAATAACCAAATGAAACAGGTGATGAGTTATGCTTTACTTTGAATAGTGATCAACAAGAATGAGTCTCTTAAAATGTGTTTTTTCCCTTAACTCTTAATAAATTTTATTTTAATGTGTAGAAACATTCTAACATTCCCTCAAGTGTTTCCCTTAATTAGGCACCCAGTAAACACCAGTTACTATAAAATGAGTCTTTATGTAAAATCTTTATATTGTGTCTAATTTATCTTATCAGACTTTCAGACTTTTTCAAAGTTTTCCCTATGCTTCATTGAGAATTAACAGTTTTACAACAAATGGCTATGAAGCAAAGGTTTACATATTGGACCCATTTTATCACTGTCTCTTCTTATCAAATGGGAGCTGTATTACAGTAGTAAAGTGAGTAAGTACATATACGCCAGAGGTTCTCAACCTTCAAAATGCTGTGACAATGTTGTGGTGGGCCCAACAATACAATTATTTTTGCTGCTACTTTATAACTGTAATTTTGCTACTGTTATGAATTGTAATGTAAATATTTTGGAGTGGAGCTTTGCCAATGGGTTGCAGCTTACAGGTTGAGAACCACAGCTCTAAGCAGTTAGCACTCCAATCTGCTCTGTTACTATTTATATATCCTGAACTAAGAGTATTTTCACTTGAATGGCCCCTCACAGTTTCTCGCCAGCTTCAGAGAGGGCAGTGGTTAGAGAGAAGAAAGCCAAAGCCTTGGGTTTCGGTGTTAGCTCTTGTGGCCAGCTCTTTACATCTGTGGCCGCAGTTCTACAGCACTGTTTCTACTCCAGGCTCTCTAGTTTGTTTTCTGAGACCAGCCTAAGCTTTTTTTTTTTTTTTTTTTTTTTTTTTTTTTTTTCTGAGACAGGGTTTCTCTGTGTAGTCTGGCTGTCTTGGACTCACTTTGTAGACCAGGCTGGCCTTAAACTCACAGCAAGCCTCCTGCCTCTGTGCCTCCCCAGTGCTGGGATTAAAGGCGTATGCCACCACACGCAGCTCCAGCTTGTGAAGTTTTAAGACATGTCAAGAATGACTCCTTTTTGAGTGGTCTATCACTTGTTCTGTTTCTTCTTTTTTTTTTTTTTTTTTTTTTTATGAAGTTTTCACATATTATTTCAAGATTAGCCCTGTATAAATCAGGGCCACCAAGATAGCTTAGGGTAAAGGCACTTGCCACCAAGCCTAGAGACTTGAGTTTGTTCTCTGGAACTGACAGGAGGAGAGAGCTGACTCCACAGCATTGTACACACACACACACACACACACACACACACACACACACACACGCACCCACCTGCCTGCCTGCACACACATATTTATACACAGACTAAGCTAACATAAATTAAAAAAAATTAATTCAACAATTATTTATCAAACATTTCCTGAGGACAAGAGTGATGCCATTATCCCAATCTAAGCTCTAACTATCTACTTCTAGATAACTACCACTTACTAGTGGTACTTCATTTCTCCTCTAAGTTTACTGATCGCTACAGGATGATTTTCTACTGTCACCTGTTATATACTGAATAAAATGCATTTTCCCAGCCTGATATTCTGAATCTTTCACAATCTGGTCTTTGTACCTTTTCCCCCATAAATATGAATTTCATGTAATATATTCACCTAATATAAATCTGACCCCTCAAAAACAAACAAAAAAATTAGAATTTGGTTTAGCTAGTCCTTTTGACCTTGTCCTTTCATTGTAGGTTAATTAGGACTGGCAAACAGATTGTTGTCCTCATGCCAATTCTAACCCTCTACTAACAGAGAATGAAGGTAATTTTTCTGAGACCAAAATTTTAGAGGCATATGCTACTCTGAATGCCAAGCATTTGCTTTTGCTGATCTACGCTGAAAACCTGAATTCCACTGGAAACTGATAAACATTTCTGTTGGAGGTTGGTCTAATGCTAATTACTGGCGCTCAAGATCTGGTTACTGGGCCCCCAGACACCCATCCTTGTTGTGTAAACCTGCCTAAAACATGCCTGATTGGTTCATTAAATGGCCTATACCTGAGCCTGGCAGAATGGGGTAGGCGTGGCTAGGCAGATGGATGGGAAGGAGGAGGATGATAGGTTAGTGTGGAGGAAAAAACCATGTAGCTGAGGAGAAGGGACTCCCATAATGGCATGGAAAGGCCCAGATGAAGAATAAAAACAAGTACCATGGGATTATGTATTGAAGGTGTTCTGCCCAGTTCACGAACCCCAAAAGACCAGGAATAAACAGACTCCGCTGTAAATACATGAGGTTCTTTTTATTATAAATCATTACAAGCTGCAGCTTGGGCCCACACCCTCCACCGCCAAAGCCGTGAGAGCTGAGCGCCTGTGCTCAGGTTAGTTGGGTGATTTAAAGAGTCCGGTCCATCCCAGCATGCCCAAGGCAGGGGCGATTCCTGCCTGGCAAGCATCTATTGATCAAAACGCTACATTTTGAATTGATTGCCTATAGGAAGGTCCCCAAACCATTAATGATCTGGTGTCCCTCCCTAGGGGGATTGGCCAGTTTCCTAGCAACTGTACCTCTAGTGGGTGGGGAAAGAATGCAGTAAGGCAGTTCTTCCCCTTAGGGCATTACTGGACTTGTTCACCCAGCTAGCCTTAGTTCAGGCCTTAAACTTTAATAATAACTGCTGATTTTTAACTTTTTGGTCTCTCAAAGGCAGACCAGATGAGGAGGATTAAGATGGATGCCAATGGATGGGTACTGGGAAATGGATGGTGAGGATATTGAGACAGTATAAGGAAAATATTATTATGCCCAAGTCTTGTGGGCCCCAAAGACCACCAAGGACCCAATTTTGATGCAAATGCAGTAAGGTTTTTGTTACAAGCTCAAACTTTTCAAGTGTAGAACCCTGAGCTCAGGGAGAGAGAAGTTTTTAGGGTTATAGCAAGGCTTGGGAAATTCCAGCTTAGCAGTCACACAATTGGGTGACACTCAGCACAGGCAAGCTTGTTACAAAGTGATGTGGCTAATATTGAGTGAGCTATCTGTAGACTTCAGGAATGTTAGGTATTTCTGTGCCTTGAATGTTCTACTATAAGGTCGGTGGGCTACCCAGCACAGATGCTCCACCCTGAGATAAGATACCTTCCCATTCTTGTAATTACCTCCAGGCTATTCCCTGGTTAGGGAATTTTCTATAGCCTAGTTCCTAGGACTGGTGACTTTTGGGGGAGGGGAATCAGGCCTGGTTCTCTCATTATCTGCCTAGCCCAAGGTGAATAAGGCAACTGTAAATCTAACAGGCATCTGTGTCATATTATTTTTGATAGCAGGTTAGATGATACCCCCATTATAATCATAAATATATAATCTGAGTGTAAGGATTATGCCACCATCCCATTCTAGACCATAAATTTTCTTACCACTAGACAGGATCATCCTTGTGTTATAATTTTACCAGTGTGTCTCAAATTCGTGACAACCAGCTGATTGCCTGATTGTATAGACCATTTAATGAACCAATCAGCAATTGGGTGTTGGTATGGTGCTCAGTGTATACAAATGCTGAACTCTGGGCCCCAAGATCTGGTTATAGTCCAGACAAGTGCACTGTCACATACTCTGATCAATGTTGTGTAAACTTTGCTCCCCAATTATCTGACTGGTTAATAAAGATTCTGACAGCCTGTAGCCGGGCAGAAGAGAGATAGGCAAAACTTACATTCCCTGGCTTGGGGTCTCAAATAGGGACCAAGAGGCAGAGGAGAAGGAGGAAGATAAGAAAGGACGTCACCATGAGGAATTGGCCTGATGGAGAGAAACAAGCCCAGGTAGGACCAATAGGGCAAGTAACTTGGGGCGTGTGGCTGGGATGTAGCCAGACTAGCTTAAAGGATTAGTATAAATGGATATCTGCCCAGTTATCGAGCTTAAAGCTTGTTAATAAATATAAGTCCCTGTGTCATTTATTTGGGAGGTAAAGCGATGATTAGAAAACGACCTCTGAAAAAATACATACTATCTACTGCAACCAGCCCTACGAGAATCACCTGATCCACACAATAAAAATGGAGTTTCCCAAGCTCTATCCCACCCTCAATGAATTAATGTTAGGAAATTTTAAATAGCTTTTCCATGTAATCCTAGGTCAAGTTCCAGAATCATTGGCTTACAGTAAGATGCTCTACCTTGGATGAATATTACATGTATATATAATAGATACTCAGAATATATTCATTATACATATTTTATATAAGGGTGGTTTCTGTATTCATAAATTCTACAAAATACAAAAAAAAAGTTTGCTAATTTTCTGTACTGAACATGTGTGGATATATTTTTTAAATCAACAATCAATGTAATAGCTTTGTATATAACATATTGTACTAGGTATATCAATAATGTAAAGATGATTTAAAGTATATGGGCAGTGTTGTATAGGTTATATTGAATAC